CTGTGAGCGTGAGATCTCGCTGCAGCTCCCCTTCGAACCAGGTAGTGATGCCGTCATTCGAGCCGATGTAAAGGAGATCGTCCACGTAGACGATTAGTAGGATGTAGTCGTCGTTTTTTGTGAGCCGGTACATGCCTTGATCGTGCAGTAGTTGCTTGAAGCCGATGCGGATGAGGCGAGCGTGCAGGTACTGTTGCCACAGTCGCGGAGCCTGCTTGATGCTGTAGAGTGACTTGAGTAGCTGGCAGACTTGGTTGGGTTCTCTGTGGGAGCCGTGCGGTAGCTCGACGAAAATTTCTGCATCAACAGGTGCGTAGAGAAACGCGTTCGCGACGTCAATTTGTCGCAGCTTCTTCTTCTTCATGGCGGCGATTGCGAGGAGAATGCGTAGTGAGGTGTGGCGGCTAACCGGAGCGAAAGTTTCGGTGAAGTCGCGTCCGTGTTCTTGGTCGAAGCCGCGTACAACCCAGCGAGCCTTAAATTTGTCAATGGTGCCGTCAGCCTTTGTCTTCACACGGAAGACCCACTTCCCGGTGAGCACTGTCTTGTTCCGTGCCACGCCGATAGGAACCACTTTCCACGTGTTGCGTTCCTCCAGTGCCTTCAGCTCCTTGTCCATGGCTTCGCGCCATTTTTCCTTATGCTCCCCCCCCAGAGCCTGTTGAACCGTCGCAGGCTCTTTAGGAATGGCGGTGCCGTGGACTGCGGTGACGAGTCCGAGAATTTGCAGTCCACTCTGTGAGTAGCGGGGAAGATTTGCGTCCTCGGGATAAGCTGCTTCATCTCCCGCTTCTGGATCAGGTATGAAGTTGGGTCCTACTCGTTCTGCTTCGTTGGTGTTGACTGTCGCAGGTGTTACGTAACCGTTGTCGGCGAAATGGTAGAAGGTTTCGGCGTTGACACTTTCGCGAGGGTTATCTTCGTCCATGGGAACATCCACGGAGCAGAACGGAAGAGGTCCGGCTTCTTCTGATGCGTTGTCCACATTCTGCTCGTCCCAGTCAACTTCGTCCGTTGCTGAGGCGAAGGCTCGGTCACCGCGAAAACCACCTGTGGGATCCTGGTCTTCTTGCAGGTTGGCAAGGTATGTCTGGAGCGTGAGTCGTTCGTAGAAAATTACATCACGTGCTGCTACTGTTTCCTTGGAATGGACGTCGAAGATTTTCCACGCGTTGTAGTTCTTTTTGATTCCCAGGTGTAGTCCCCACTGTGCTCGTTGAGAAAATCGGCCCGCTCGTGCTGCTGGGGGTTGGTACTGTACCATGCATCCGAATACTCGTAACATTTTTGTGCTGCCCTGTTTTCCTGTCCATAGCAGATGCGGTGATGCGTTGTTTGGAAGTGATGATGACAAGAGCAAGTTGTGCAGCATGACGGCGTGGTCCATTGCCGCAGGCCACTGGTGGTTGGGTAGCCGCATGCCACGTAACAGTTTGCGCATGCTGTTCTGCAAGGTCCTGTTCATTCTTTCTGCTACACCTTGCTGCTGATGGGCATAGGGAAGGGAGACGAGCCGCTTGATTCCCCTTTCCGCCAGGTACTGCTTGAATCGCTGAGAGGTGTATTCTCCTCCTCCGTCTGACTGGAAGCTTTTCAGTTTCACGCCCGATTCTCTCTCTGCTACTGGTAGCCAGGCAACGAAGGCTGCGAATGCCATGTCGCGGCTAGGGAGGTTTAGGTGCCAGACGTAACGGGTGGCGGCGTCGATGAAGGTGATTGTATAGTTGTATATTGCTTGTCCTGGTTCCTGATTGTACAGGATGTCGCTATACACCTTCTCGAGTGGTGCGTACGCGGGTGCGCTCGGGTTGTGATGAGACGCAAACGGTCGATGTGGTAAGTCACCTTCAGGGCAGGTGAAGCATGTTCCGCGTACTCGTTGAAGTTCTCGTCCGTCGGTCAGGAGGAGTGAGTCCTTGTCGAGTACTCCTGCTCTTATCGTATTGTTTAATACTGTGTTGCTTGGGTGTCCCATCCTTGCGTGCCAGGTGCTTTTGTCGGCGCGATGTCCGGGTGATCGTCGGTACATATCGGAGTTGGAGTAGAAGTTGGCGGTGAAGTTGGCGCTACGATAAACTTCTTGTGGTGCTGGGTGCAGTTGTTGCGCGGGTGTCGGTGGTGTGTCGTCGATGAGGAGCGGTGTCGTTGAAGGACCAGCAATTGGTGTTGACGTTCCTGCTGCTGCCGTTAATGGTTCTGCTACTGCCGATGTTGTCTCTGCTGCTGCCGATGTTGTCTCTGCTGCTGCCGATGTTGTTTCTTCTGCTGTTGATGTTGTCTGAATTGTTGCTAACGCCCTTGTTCTTTCTGCTTCATGGATGGTGTGTGAGTACCAGAAGCCTTCTGGACTGAAGTCTGGATCAAGGTCTGGAGGGTGTGTCCAGTTGGTGAAGTTAACGATGGCGTCGCTGTCGGCGGTGCCAAGATCAGGAACGAAATCAAGAACGAAGACGTTGTTCTTGAGGACCGCCTTGCCGATGTAAAGTCCTCTTCTCCCATGATACAGCTTGAATTCTTGGGTGGTGCTGTCTGCTTCGAGGTGAATCCCTTTCGCCATTAGCTGACTGACGCTCAGTAAGTTGTAGCCGAGTCCCTCTGCGATTAGTACTTTTGACATCTGCAGTATAACGTTTGTTTCCCTTGACTGAAGTTGAACTACGCCTTGTCGTCGTGTTCGCAGGTTCTGATTGTTGGCGACTGTAATGACAACTTCGCGTTGAAGTTGGTGTTCTCGTTGAACGAAGCGTCCCGAGGAGCACATGTGCTGTCCGCAGCAACTGTTCAAGAACCATGTGTCTTTTCCGGATGGTTCGCTTTGGGCGATGGCGGCGTATGTCGGGTTCGGCTGAAGTGACTCGCGGCGGGGTGTGGTTTCATCGAGTTGTTCTTCCGGTGAGTAGTGTGGTGGTGACTCGGTGATGCAGGAGTCACTCAGCTTTGCCATGCAGCTGACGATGTTTCTTGCTCCTTGTGCAGGTTGTCCCGTTGAAGTTGTTGATGCTTGAATCTGGGTCGTGGGATTTGCTTGCGTTGAGGCGATTTGGCTGCTTGAAGGTCGAAGTTGCCGCTGTGGAGTTGTTGACTGTTGACGATTTGGGCAGTGCGTACGCGGGTGTCCTAAAGTTTTGCAGATGTGGCAGAACGGAGGTACTGGCTTCGGTTGTTTCTGCCGGTTGTTGTTGTTGTTGTAGCGTCGCTGAGTGTGGAACGCGAATTCCAGTGCTGATGTCTTCTTTTTGTGTCGTTCTTCTTGCAGGTCCATGTCTTGCTGCTCGGCGTGGATTTCGGCGCAGAGCGCTGCTTCGGAGATTCTTCCGTGAGCTCGGAGAATGGCTTTTGTGGCGCGCCATTGAGGACCGAGGCCGCCGATGATGACTGTTACGAAGGCGTCTTCAGAGATCGACCCTCCGCATCGAAGAAGCTTGTCGCGCAACTCGCGACATCGACTGATATACGCCATTCCTTTCTCCCCTGGTTTCATTTCAACCGTTGTCAGTTGCGCCATTAACCGACTTTGGCTTACGCTGTCTGTTGCTTGATACAGGCTCTTCAGGTGGTTGTACGCGAGCTCCGCGGATTTGCCGTAACCTCGGTAAGACCTTATGTTCTGCTGTTGAGTTGGGGTGATATTCCTCAGTAGGATCGTGTACGCCATCATTGACTGATAGGTGTACTGCTGCTTCTCGTACTGTGTGCCGTTTGTTGGGTATGGCAGAGACCCGTCGAAGAACCCGAGTATCTGCGCGCCTTCCATCATCAGCTCGAACTCGAACGACCAGGTGAAGAAGTCCTTTCCATCGAAAGGTCTTGACGTCTGCATCTTCAGAACGTGTGCGAACTGCGACTGAACTTGTAATGCGTCCAGTGATTTTTCTTGTCCAGGTGAAGGCTGTGGGTGTGGCATAAAGCTGATGGACCCGCGCTCGTACGGAGCAAAGGTAGGCTGCTGTTGTTGATTTCCTCGTGCATATGATGAGCCGTCGAGACTCATGGGTGTTGCTCCGTTGTTGTTGCTGTTGTGTGACTGCGCAGGTACCGATTGTTGGTGTTGCTCGTAGAAGGACGTGAAGGAGAAAAACTTCTCCATCATGCTCTGGTCGAAGTCTGAAGGTTGATTCGCGGGAGTCTCGGTAGATGTTGCTCTGGGTCTTGTTGCTGGGCCCTCCTCTGTCTGTAGGCCAGAGGCAGGAGTTGGAGTAGGAGTAGTGCCCTGGGAGCCGTTGGAGTTGCTCCTTTCCTTTTGTGTAGCCATGCTTGTTGATAATGTCGGTATAGAAGTTGAATTCCCCCTGATAGCTCTCATACCATGTTGGGCTGAAAAGCCCCTTAGGATCTTTGCAGGGGTGAACTCTGGGTAGAGTTGGTGTAGTAGCGGAAGCGTTTAATTAAAGAGTTGTGAACCACCTTGCACTAGTATGTGAGGGCAAAGTAAGTTGATAATAATAAAAGAGATACAAGCTTTTATAAGAATACAAAGGAATATGAAGAGATACAGTTAACTGTTTTACTGTTGCTGTTGCGGTTCGATACAGTGTCGACTCGGGCAACTGCTCAGTATCGAGACAGTTGGTTGTCCTTGCTGTCGCGCTGCATTTGTCAGGTCAAAGGTCGCTGACCTTTGACTTTCGCATAACCTCCAACAGTTATTCAACCTCCGAGGGTTGACTCACCAATATTTCGATACGAGCTACTTCGCTTCTGTCTTGGTGTTTCGACACGACAGAGGCGCCTAAATCAGTTGTTTCTAACAAATCTGAGGGCCTGCACTCAACTACTGAGTGGCGAGGGGCTGCCCGCCCACTATATTCGTCTTAGCCAACTGCAATAACCATCTTTGCCAATCTATTTGACTCAAATATGTCATATGAAGGCACCTGTGTAAAATTGTTCTTCCACTGTTAAGCCACCTCCGTGTCTTCTATGGTACCATGAATTTGATTCGGAGCCCTAAGATGGCTTGCCCGGGTGAGCTTGCCACGGTGCTCCCATGATCATGGTGATCATGGGTCCATGCGAGCCTTCTTGTGCCGTCCCCACTTGCCACCACTCCTGTGTCTCCCACTCCCTCCCTCCCCATCGCCATCACCATCGCCATCACCAGCCTCGTCCGCATCTCTAACTCGCCTCAACGCACCGCGCTGCACCGCTCTGTGCTCCTCGCCATCATGTGACGCCTTGTGGTCGGCTCTACCAGCATCAGCTCTACCAGCAGCACTGCTGCCGCCAGCACCACCACCAGACAGCCCTCGGCTGCTCGCCCCACCCCTGCTGCCACCGCTGCGCACTGCTGCTGCCTCCTCCGCGCCACGGTTCAGGTCCATGGCACTGCGCTCCGCCCCTCCATGCCCGTTCACCTCCATGCCACCCCGCCGCCCCCTGCCTTCTGCACGCCCACCATCCTCTGCATCCCCCCGGCCCCGCTCCTCCACACCCACCTCCCCCGCCTCCCCTATCTCCCCCGCCTCGCCCTCCTCGCCCTCCTCCCTCTCGCCCGCACCGCCTGCCCCGTCACGACCCGCCCCTCCCTCCACAGACGCCACGCGAGCCCTCACCTGCTGCTGCCTCTCCCCACTCCCATCCTTCACCCCACCCCACTGCTGCTGCGTCTCATTCCTGCCTCTCTCCCTCTCCCTCTCCCTCACCCCCCCCGTGCCTCGCGCCCCCACGTCCACGTCAGCCAGCATCGCCTCATACTCCATCTCCTCCTCCCCGCCCCACCTCCTCTTCCTCCTCCCCTCTGCACCTTCGCCCTCATCCACCGCACTGCCCCGCCCCCCCTTGGCCAGCCCCCCTTGAGGCGGGCTGCCATGCTCCTCCACCTGCCCGCCTGACCACTCGCCTATCTCCCCATCCTCCTCCTCCACCCCCTCTTTGCTTCCCTCGCTGCCCCTTCTCCCTTCTCCCCCTTCCCTTTCATGCACTGCTCCATCCCTGCCTCGCCTCTGTGACTCCCCACCCTGTCCGCCGTACTCTGACTCGCCCCCACTCTGCCGACCTCCCCTCTCCTCCACTGTGCCTGCCTCACCTGCCCTCCGCCCGCCATCCCCACTCGCTCCACCCTCACCTCCCACGCTACCGCCCGCCCTCCCATCCCTGCCCTTCACCGCCTCCCGCTCCCTCCTGCGATCACTCTCCCGCTGGCCCCCTCTCTCCACGTCACGCTCCCTCTCCCCGTCACTGTGCCGTCTCACTCCCTGCGCGCCCACAGCCCCGCCGCCACCAGGGGCGCCCCGCGAGTCTCTGAAGCCGCCAGCTGACGGCCTCCCCTGCGAGGGCGCGCTGTTGCTGGTGGTGGCGGATGCGAGGGGGGGGTGCGAGGAGAGGGACGAGGTGGCCCCACGGGAGGTGGCGCGGGCGGCAGCAGCAGCGGAGGGAGCGATGGCGATGGCAGGGGAGGCGGCGTGGGTGGGGTTGGGGGCGAGGCGCACCTGCTCGTACAGCTCCAACAGCTGCACACTCACGTCTGGTGCCACGGGGGGGGAGGGGGGGGGGGGTGGGGTGGAAGGGGAGGGGAGGGGAGAAGAGGGAGGGTGTGCAGGGACACCGAAAGAATGAGAGAGTGAAAACAACACACAACGAATGAACAAGGTGCGGAGAAGGGGTTAGGCAGCATCACACGGCTGATGCAGAAAGGTGGCAGTGGGTGGGCGAGGTGGCATAAAACGCTTCACATGCTGAAAACTATATCGGCTTTGCACTGCACACTCCACCGCATACCCCTCGCACTCCAGCACATGCCCCTGGCAGCACAGCGTGCGTGCGTGCATGCGTGGAGGGCGGCGCACCATGGAGCAGTGTGGGCGAGACGTTGAAGTCGGCCCACCAGGGCGAGTGGGAGTCGCCCGGCAGCTTCACTCGCAGGAACTTGGCCGCCAGGCTGATGGCGCCCGCTGCAAACTGCTCTGCTCGCACCTGCAGACACAACGACGTGCGCAGCCTGGCAGGGGGAGGGGGAGGGTGAGGGGGGTGGGGGGTTAGCAGGCAGGAAGAGGGAGGAAACGTTGGGGGTGGGAAAGCGGGAGATGGCAGGCAGCACATGCAGCACGAACGAATCGGGAGGCATGGCACACACATGGACTCTCCCTTCCACCCCACCACCACCACACTCCGTCCCCTTCCCCTCAACCACCTTCCCTGCCTAATTCCCCCTCCTCCCCTCTCCCATCTCCCCTCCATCTCCCCCTTCCCCCCTCCCCCCTCCCCCCTTCTCCCTCCCCCTCTCCTGGCTGACCCGTCGTTGATGAAGTTCCAGGCGACCTGGGCGAGCGCCTGCTGGGCGACCTTGAAGCGCTTGATGGCGGCCACGAGGGGCTTGTACGCATGGGCCACGTTCAGGTCGAACCCCAGCGTCGCCAGCACCAGCCCCTCGCCCACCAGAATCAGCTCCTTCTGCTGCTCCTCCTGGTGCCGCCCTCACACAGAGGGGTGGGGGGAAATGGAGAGGAGAGACGAAGGAGTCAACGGAGAGGGACGGCAGGTGGGTACCAGAGGGGCGGCAGGTGGGTACCAGAGGGGCGCCAGGTGGGTACCCGAGGGAAATCGCTACAGCAACGTGCATCGTGTGTTGGGAGGCAGCTTGGCACCTTGTGGGGAAGCTTGGCACCTTGTGGGGCAGCTTGGCACCTTGTGGGGCAGCTTGGCACCTTGTGGGGCAGCTTGGCAGCGGCGGCGGGGTCCTTCCTGGCCTGCGCGTCGAGGCTCTTCTGCACCACCTCCCTCAGCGCACGCGGCGTCTCCTCCACCTTGCCCGCCAGGAACATGCACACCGTCGCTATCGCCTAATGAGGGGGGGGGCGCACAGCCATGGTGCACAGGGGGGGGGGAACGGGGTAAGGGGGGCACGGCGCAGAGGGGGGAAGGGGAGAGGACACGGACGTTAGTTTGGTGAAGCAGGCAGGCATGGTAGACGCGTGAAGGCATTGATGTGCAATCGTGAAGGCATTGATGTGCAATCACACACGCTCGTGTATATTGAGCGCGCGCGCACACACACACACACACACACACACACTCGTGTATATTGAGCGCGCGCGCACACACACACACACACACACACACTCGTGTATATTGAGCGCGCGCGCACACACACACACACACACGCTCGTGTACGGCGCGCGCACACACACACACACACTGCATGGCACACACACTCGTGCATGGCACTCGTGAAGGCTGAGGCTCGCAGAAATGGGAAAGCATGGGTGAGAGGGCAAGGCGCATGGGTGAGAGGGCAAGGCACATGGGTGAGAGGGCAACGCGCATGGGTGATAGGGCAACGCGCATGGGTGAGAGGGCAACGCGCATGGGTTAGAGGGCAACGCGCATGGGTGAGAGGGCAACGCGCATGGGTGAGAGGGCAACGCGCATGGGTGAGAGGGCAACGCGCATGGGTGAGAGGGCAACGCGCATGGGTGAGAGGGCAACGCACATAGCGGTCGTTCTTGGCGTGCGACTGGCGCATGAAGAAGCGATGGCAGAAGACTATGGCTGTCGCTATTGTGATCTGCGGCCTGGTGCCGCCCGGGGGAGGGGGGGAAGAGGGGGAAGGGGGAGGTGTTGTGCGGGGTGAGGTGGGGGATGCATGCCACGTGGCGCAGTGAAAGGCCCTGGCATGTTCTGATGGCGCACAGACTGGCAGACCATTTGCCCAAATGCGAGCAGGACAGGCAAGTGCAACGGTTGAGGTGCGGGGGAAGGGCGTGAGGGGCGGGGGAAGGGCGTAGGGGCGGGGGAAGGGCGTGAGGGTGGGGCGTACACGCGGAGGCGCATGCCGAGGTCCTGCAGGAAGGTGCAGTAGGAGCGGCGCAGGTATGTCTCACGCCGCAAGTCAATGCCATCAGCACGCGACGGCGAGTGCTTCTCGATGTGCTCGCGGCTGAAGTACCACTGCCCGCCCTCGCTGCTGCCCGCCCCCCCGCTACTGCCCGCCGCCGCCGCATCAGCGGGTGCAGCGTCCGTGCGCGCCATGGCCTTGGCGGCACCGGGGCGGCCGAGCAAGCCGCCGACGAGGTACGACGCCATGGTGATGGTGGCAACGCATGCGATGGTGCGCCGCCTTGCGCTTCACCACACCGCCGCCTTGCGCTTCACCACACCGCCGCCTTGCGCTTCACCACACCGCCGCCTTGCGCTTCACCACACCGCCGCCTTGCGCTTCACCACACCGCCGCCTTGAGACCTTCGGGAGCGTCTGCCGCTGTGGGCTGGGAGGTGACAACAAGGAAAGCGAATGGAAGTGAATGATCGGGAGGGGTCATGGGGGAAGTGACGGGACGGGGAGGAAAGGGAAGGGCAGAGATCGGGCGGCACAGGACGGAATTTGAAGGATTTCAAATGGAAGAGGGCGAGGCAGCGAGAGTGGGAATGGAAGAGAGGGGGCGAGGGGGAAGGATGCGTGTGAAGTTGAGGCCGTTCGTAAGAGGGGCTTCGTGATGAGGGGTGCGCGTGATGAGGGGTGCGCGTGATGAGGGGAGCACGTGATGAGGGGTGCGCGTGATGAGGGGTGCAGATGATGAGGGGTGCGCGTGATGAGGGGAGCACGTGATGAGGGGTGCGCGTGATGAGGGGTGCGCGTGCAGGGAGGGGAGAGAGATGCAAAGGCAGGGAGGGGAGATGCGAAGGTGTGGAGGGGGGGAGATGCGAGGGCTGGGGGGAGGGGGGGTGGATGGGCCGGCAGGGAGATGGGAAGGCAGGGACGGAAGGGAGGTAGTGGAAGCGTGGGAAGGGAAGGGCATGAAGCGAAGGGCAGGAAGGGAGGGGCAGGAGGGGATGGAGGGGATGGAGGGGATGGAGGGGATGGAGGGGATGGAGGGGATGGAGGGGATGGAGGGGATGGAGGGGATGGAGGGGATGGAGGGGATGGAGGGGAGTGGAGTGGAGCGATCGCAGTGGGGCTACTCACCCCGTGCGGGAAGCCCAGGTTGCACTCGCGCGGCACTATGCATGCGCGACCCCACTTGCACTCGCCGCTGTGGATTGGCTATAAGGCCACGACACGGGGGGGCGGGCGAGGGGAACGGTGGAAGAGAGTAAGGAAGGGGAGGGAAGGGATGGGAAGTGCAGCGAAGGGTCGCAAAAGGGAGGGATTGCGGTAGAAGGGGAGGGCAGGGCAGGGAGGCAAGGTAAAGGTCATCATGGCAAGTTGCCGCTGTGGGATGGGAGGTGACGACAAGGAAAGCGAGTGGCAGTGAACATAACGAAATGAAGGGGTCGGGTCTTGGAGGGGAGTGACGGGAAGGGAAAGGAAGTGGGGCGAAAGGGGGAGAAGGGGGGTCGAATTGAAGGGGAAGGGAAGGCGGTGAGGATTGCCGGTGGGAATGGAAGGCAGGGCGCGCGGAGGAAGGGTGCGTGGGGGGGAGTGGCGAGGGAGAGACGGCGGGCGGGCCTCGCGACGCACGCCGCGGGCGATCGCGAGGTGCGTGCGTTAGCAGACGCGGCGGGTTGTGAGAGTGAGTGCTGCCGTGCAGATGGGCCGTGACACGCTATGGGCGCGGGCGCGCGGCGGTATGACACGGTGCGCGTCACGATCTCTCTTGCGCACAGCGCCGCTAGTGGGATCGCGAGTGTGTGAGAGCGCGCGGGGCGAATGTGAGGGCGCGAGAGAGGCGAGAGTGATCTGCTTGCCTTGGGCGTGTGCGAGAGCGTGGGCGTGGTGACGACTGCCGGGCACGCGACACCTTTTGCACGAGCGTTCGTCAGGGCAGGCCAGAGGAGGCTGAGCAGTGGGGTGGCGAGGCGAGGCCGAGAGCGGGCGAGGCGAGGCCGTGAGGGGGGCGAGTAGGGAGTGAGAGGTGCAAGAGCACCGGGATTGAAAGCGGGCTGGCGCGGCTAGGCCAGCTGTGTGTTAGGCAAGAGTGAGATGCGAACTAGGTAAGAGTGTAGGAGAGGCGCGAGTGACGGGGTGGGTGCGGCGAGTAAGGGCGCGGCACCATTTTGCTATTTCGTTCGTATAATGTACAGCGGACGGTGCTACTAACGCGTTTCGAACCGTTGCCGGACGACTTTCGGACCGAAGTACGGACGGACGACGTGCTGGCACTTTTTTATGTCAATTTTCTATATAAATACTACTGTACATGCGTAACATATATTACGAGCTTTAACGATCTTCGCCAATTCCGCCAATTCGCGTTCATTCAATTTTGGCGAAGCGTCTCAACTGCCCTAAAGGTTTTCCAACTTCGTGCGTGAACCACAAACAAAGTACTGTTGAGTTGTCCGTTCAAAAACGGACGACGAATGGACTGCAGTTTCGACCCGACAAAAGTGGGAAAAGTGCCACACCGTTGCGGTATGCATGCGATGTCGCATCCATGCTAACGAAACATGCGAGTCCTCGCGAATTTAATTACCCCCCACGGCTCGAACGGTCGATGGTTCGAACCATGCGCCCTCAACACACTGATCTTTACTAGCACGAAGTCCGACCCATATCGGGCTCAGCAAGCCGTGGAACATCCTCTATTCTGTAAAACGCGATAACAGTATGGTAATCAAGTCCAAGATTCTTAACTTGATATCACCAAAATTAGGGTAGCCCTACTTACCATATTTATCGTATTTACCTGGGTAATAGACCCAGGGGACTAATCCCACCCCGAAAAAAAAATTGGGGCTATTAACCGGGTATAAATGCAATAGACACTGTCTAATTCTACATGCAATTTTTTTTTTCTCTCGGTTATGTGTTGGAAACATTGTTGTTTGACATGCATCAAACAATCATCTGTCGCAAGCATAGGCAAACGTGACGCAAGTTTGCGCCGTGCAAATCCTATGTACATGCCGTGCCAATTTCGACTAGTGTAGCATGTGCAATTCACGCACAGCAAATGCCTTTGACATTGGTCTGCTAGGTCCACAAACACAACATAGGAAAAACAAGAGGATGAAAACAACAGAGAATTTCAAGGTGACGAGATAAGAGAGAGATAGGCTGACGAAGAGAGAGATAGGCCAACGGCAACAAAGACACGTGGAGAGAAATGTGCGAGCAAAATCGTGGAATGGTAAGATTATGGGAGGTTGACGTGAGGTAGAGCGCGAGGGCGACGAGATGGGTGATGGGAGGGGAGAGAAGAAGGGCGACATGCGGGCGTTTCGAGGAGAGCGCGAGGGCGATGAGGTGGGTGATAGGAAGGGAAATACGAAAGGCGACGGGAGGGCATTTCGGGCGAGCGCGAGAACGACGAGGAGGGTCCGAGGGGATATACGAAGGGGCAAGGAGGGCGTTCCAAAGCGCGCGCGAGGGCGACGAGTTGGGCGATGGGAGGGGAGGGGAGAGAGCGAAGGAGATGGGAAGGGAGAGGAGAGAGGGAGGGCGAGTGAGATAGGATAGGAAGGCTGCGAGAGGGCAATCAAAACGGCACAAGTACTACGCAACCATGCCAGCTAATCACTGCGCTTCTAAGTTGCGGTAACAACAGCCTAAGTTAAGGGTTATATGGCTAGACAAGCTACTGATAACCAAGGGTTCGTATATTAGGTCGAACTTTAGGTGGTAAACAGTTTCGTCAATGTTCGCAAAAGATTTCGCCAGTGGTGACTCCGATTTCAAGAGTACCAGGTGCGAACCTACAAATGTGAACAAGATTCGAATATATGCACAAACTTTGTGTATCACACTGAACCGAACGTGTGTGGTTTCAGGCACGTTCGAGGAACCAGCGAAACTCGCGAAGTTTTTGTGCACCAATGGAGGCACATCCGAGACCCGTATCAGAGTCCCCCGCTCGCGAATCTTTCGTCCCCGACACTTTTTTTAGCAGCGATTCGTTGACGTGTCGCGCTGTCAAGAAGACAATACTGGGTAACAGGGCTGATTTTATCAGGGTAATTACCCTGATTTCAGGGTGATTTCAGGCTTTCCACTTCGTGGAGACTGAAATTTCAGAGTTATTGAATTTCCAGCCCTGATCCAATCAGAGTAATAGTTTAGCTATCCCTGATTTTGAGTACAGTGTAACAGACTAGGCTGTTAGTGGACCCTGACTTAATAGAGTATCGACTGTGTGGACCCTGACTTATCGAGAGGAAGTTTCTCGGTAGTTTCCTTTCGATGACCCCGCCTTGGATTGATCGCAGTGATCTGTGAGAATGATAGACGAAAGAATGAATGAACTAGAAATGAGATGGGTACATATAGGAAACACATAAGTGTTGTACCCACTAAGAGCTACCCCACTACAGCCTAAATAGACCATAGCCGATATAAGTTTGACACACCCCCATAGGCAAAGTGGGGGAGAACAAGAGGTCACAAGACCAGTCAAGAAAAGCAAAGCAAGCTCAGGGTGGATCACAAAGTCACCATACAGTCTGAGCACAAGCAAAGGGCCATAAGGCCAGTTCACATGCAGAGTTATATAAAAGAAAGTAAACAGTACAGTGAACACAACCTAGCATGTGTAAGCATGCAGGTATAAGTATATAGAGTACAGTACAAGCAGAAGTCAACAAGTGAGGCACAGTAGGTACAAGGCCTAACACAGTACAGAAACGCTGATGAGCACAAGGCTGAAGTGCCTTGGTGAAGACATCAGCAGTGTTGGCCTGAGAGGCCACGTAAGCAAGACGAAGCTGGCCACGCTGCTGCAACTCTCGAGCAAGGAAGTAGCGCAGAGCAATGTGCTTCGTTCTGTGCTCCAGTCTGTGCTCCTGACACAAGGCCAGCATGGCCTTGTTGTCGACGTACAGAACTGGAGGAGAACGAGGCGCCTCTCCCAAGTCGGTCAGCAGGTAGGTGAGCCAGCGAAGCTCCTGTGCAGCCATGGCCCCAGCGTAGATCTCAGCCTCACAACTGGAGCTGAGAACAGAAGAAGAGCGGGTAGACCGCCAGGAGACAGAACCGGAGCCAAGGCTGAAGGTGTAACCCTGTGACGACCGCTGCGTAGCCAAGTCGTCAACCCAGGAGGCGTCAGCGTGACCAGTGAGGACAACTCGAGCCCGTCCTCCAAGCACGAGCCCCATGCCCGATGTACTGCACAAGTATCGCAACACCCTCTTCGCAGCATCCCAGTGCACCTTTCGGTGCCTGCCGGGAGCCACGTAGCGAGCCAGAAGGCTGAGAGGGTATGCGAGGTCAGGTCGTGTGCAAGTCATCAGGTACATGAGGCAACCCACAAGCTCTGGATACGGGCCACTCGGCTCTACGGACTCGTCCGAAGGTGGAGCTGAGAGCGAGTGACCGGTAGGCAGAGGAGTGGACTGTGGCGAGGAGTAGGTGAAGCCGAAGCGCTGAAGGACCTGCTGCACCATGTGTGACTGAGTCAAGGTAATGGTGCGCTGTGCTCTGTCCCGGGTGATCCGCAAGCCAAGATAGCTTGTCAGCTCACCCAGGTCTGTGCACGTGTGTCTCTTCTGCAGCTCGGACTTCACGTGGGCGAGTGCCTCAGTGTCAGCAGTAGCAAAGACAAGGTCGTCTACGTATACAAGAACGTAGAACGGCGGCAGAGTAGCGTCAGTGCGTAGAAACAGAGAAGGGTCAGTAGTGGAAGGAGCAAAACCAAGAGCAGCAAGAGTCGTCCTGAGCGTGTCGTGCCACTCACGGGGCGCCTGGCGGAGACCGTAGACTAGCCGCGGGAGGCTCCACTGGGTACCAGAAGGAAACGACCCAGTGAAGCCAGGTGGGCGGCGCAGCCAGATCTCCTCGTGCAGGCTGCCCTGCAGGAAGGCTGTGCTGAAGTCAAGCGAGTGGAGCTCGTAGTCACGCTGAGCAGCAACGTGCAGCAGTACCCGAAGAGTGGTCATCTTCGGGGTAGGGGAGAAGGTCTGAAAGAAGTCAACTCCCTGTCGCTGACTGAAGCCACGTGCAACGTAACGCGCCTTGAAGGCAGGCGGAGAACCCGACGGCCGCTTCACCCTGAAGATCCACATGCCACTGACGATGTTCGCCCCAGGTGGGGGAACCTCGTCTACGTAGGTGCCTGTGGACTTCCAGGAAGCCATCTCTGCGTCCATGGCTGCCTGCCACTGAGAGGA